AGAGGCACACACACACACACACACACACACACACACAGAGACACACACACACACACACACACACACAAATGAACTGGCTGTAACAATATGGCAAAATTGAGCCAGAAGACTCAAATAAGAGGTTGAAATCAGATTGATTGATTAATGCAAAAACTGACATTTCAGACCAACATTGAAAACAAAAAATCTAAACCTTTACAAACAGTTGTCTTTGAGAATGTCTTTATATAAATCCAAATCCACAACTTTTCTCAAAATACAAAATAAAAATATTATTGAACAAAAATATATTACATTGATTTCACTGAAAATAAAATAAAAAGTTACATTTCAGGGTTCGGTCACCTTTGATCGCGAGCAACACAAAGTGTGACTCCCAAATGAACAACACCAGACGGTTAAACCCGAAACTGTTCACAGAAACAAAACAAAACAAAAACAAAGTGTTTACATATAATAACATTTGAGAGATGAACATTTTTCTGTTAAATTAATAGTTATTTTTTAAAATATGTAAATATTAAATTTTTTTTATTTCAAACTTCTTCAACTTTTTGTTCAACAAAAAAATCAAAAAAGTGAGTCATCTTGAAGCGCCACATCTAAATATGCAGGAGTGTGAATGAGGAAGATTTTCAGTGAATTACATTTCAGTCTGTATCTCCCAAAACTAGCATATAAACTCACAATTTCTGATGTGTGAAGCTACAGTCCGCCAGCAGATGTCAGTCTAATCTAACAGGATGATCCGGATCTAAGAGGAATCTGTAGATCAGTCCTGAAGTCTTCATGTTCCTCAGCTCCTCATTTCTACACACCAACACTCAAGACATGTATGTACTGTATCTGAGCTCACTTTAATATCATTAGTGCTGGTGGTTTGATGGTGTGTAGATGATAAACTACACAATGCTAGAAACATGCGAGTCCGTGGAGATTTATATATTTTTTATTCTACTGTAGATGTATTTGCGCTGAGGCTTACACATGAGCATGATGAAGAAATAAACGAGTCCAGATTAAGGTAGAACTAGTTAAGAACTCTTTAAAACACTTTGTACTTGGTTGAAAATATATATATTTTTATATTTATAAATAGTTTTATTAATTATCATATTATACTATTATAGCTTTTTAATGTAAAAAAAAAAAGTAGTTAAATTTCCAACAAAAACAATAATTTGGTCGTATACTGTCCACGCTTATAAGACACGATCAGATAATTTTTTACATAGAGGATTTGCTTCCAGGTAAAGAATGTCTCTCTCTCTCTCTCTCCCTCACTCTCTCTCTCTCTCTCTCTCTCTCTCTCCGTCTCCAGGTTTCTCTGATAAATTGCTTGTCGCTGGCTAAGCACAGGCAGTGATAGATGGCAGAGTCGCCTCTCTCTCTCTCTCTCTCTCTCTCTCTCTCTCTCTCTCCGTCTCTCTCTCCGTTCTAGAGTATTGGCTTTCTGTCCACTTAGCGTTTCTTGCAGCATCTTCAATCGGAGCTTCTCCAGTCGCGCAGCACTTGAGCAGATTTACATAGCAGTAATTTACCCTGAGCGCGCGGTAAACAGCTCAGATTTACTGCTGCTCACCGGATTACACTTGAACACTCATTAGATTCCCTCCGGGACCAGCAAACCGAGACCTCATTTATAAACTGAACGGAAGCGAGGCCGACAGAAAGACGAGAGCAAGCAGAGCAGATTTCATCAGCCAAGGAAGAGAAGCCATGGAATGCAAACAGATTATAAAGGAGATGCTGCTTTCATTCAGCTGCTTTAGTCTCGTTGGCTGATGTCATATTCAGGGCTGGTCTCACAAAAAAAAAAAAAAACTCATGACATAAACATAATTTACTTTATTTGTTTACTTAGATTTTTATGCGTATGCTAGTATATGCATAAAGAACGTGTGACACATTTCATCATCAGCATAGTATGTGCGCATCCTACTTCTCTACTATATAGCAGGTGAAAACAGTACCCCGAAAGAGTAGTAAATGTCTGAATTTGCAGTATGCATAAAACAGTGGGCGAAAAGTACCCAAAAAGTATCCCTATTGGAAAATGGCACTGCATGCCAGTGGTTTGAGTCTTATCTCTCAGATAGGTCCTTCAAGGTATCTTGGAGAGGTGAGGTGTCCAAGTCACAACATCTAGCCACTGGGGTGCCTCAGGGCTCAGTTCTTGGACCCCTTCTCTTCTCTGTCTACATGGCATCACTAGGTTCTGTCATTCAGAAACATGGCTTTTCATATCACTGCTATGCTGATGACACTCAACTCTACCTCTCATTCCATCCTGATGATCCGACGATAGCTGCTCGCATCTCAGCATGTCTAACAGACATTTCTTGCTGGATGAAGGACCATCACCTTCAACTCAACCTTGCCAAGACAGAACTGTTTGTGGTTTCAATAAACCCATGTTTTCATCACAATTTCAGCATCCAGTTAGGCTCATCAACACTGCAATATAACAAAGAGTGAAAAATTTAAGGGGGTCTGAATACTTTCCGTACCCACTGTATATATATATATATAATAAAAAAATAAAAATACCTTGCTATGTGTACTGCGTTAGGCTAACCGAGACTTGTCATTTGCACTTACATATTGTTGCTCTTTTGTTAGTTTTGATTGCATCTATTGTCCTCATTTGTAAGTTGCTTTGGATAAAAGCGTCTGCTAAATGACTAAATGTAAATGTAATGTAAATGTAGATGACCTAGTATGTCTCGTGAGATTCTGAAGTGAGCATCTGCTGGGCACTTCACTGACTTGCTGACTAACTTGTGTTGACCCCCAGTGTTCATGTATTCTATAATGAAGTTTTAATTGAAATGCTGTGCGTTCGGCTCTATGCATATTTTTGCATCAAAACTAAAGAACACTTTGAACTTTAGGCATGTATTCACACACTGGTAAAATTTTTTAGCAGTTTTAGTAGTTGATCCCTATGTCATGGACGATACGACCAAAAACCAAGAGTTAGCAACAATCACATCAACTCTATTTGCATATGAACTCATTAGATTTGCGTATTAGCTCATATTTGCATGTAAACTGCTGTGATGTCATCAGTTCTGCAATGAGAAACTGACTCTAATTAAAGTCAGCATCTCGCTGCTTGTCTCCATCTGTCTCTGTGATGGGGATGTAGTTTGAGTTTCTCGCGTAATCTCTGGGATTTCTTCAGGCGAGTGTCTAGAGACTCGTCTGATCCCGTGAGAATCACTCACGCTTCTTTGAACATCCCAAACAGAGACGCAGCGCGGTCTTAATGATATACAGCGGTGAAATCTGTGCCATGGTCTCATGTCGTGTCTTAAATCTTGCCCTGCGTGTTCAGAATGTGTCAGAAATTTCTCTCGTCGCTCTTTGTAATTTTTCTTTCTTTTCTGTCTTTCGCTAATCCAGAGTCTAATGGCAAACCCGATGCTCATTTCTTCCCCAGACGACAGATAAGAGGCTTTGAGGGTCTGACTGTCGAATGATTTCTCATATTTCTTATGATTGAGCCCACAAACCTCCAGTGTTAACAGTATCGCTGACATCCGCGGCAGGAGCCACTTCACTCGATAAGACGCGTACAAAGGAAAACAAGAGTTTAATTGGAGGTGGACAAGCAAAAGTTTATTAAAAATCCCTCTGAAAACACAGAAGCAGAACACAGATGCATCTGTTCTTCTTCACACGAGGACCTAAATCGGTAACACTTTATTTTAAGGTGTCCTTGTTACACGTTACATGTACTTACTATTATAATAAAAAATAATTATGCATAATTACAAACCAAATCCTAACCCTAACCATATAGTAAGTACATGTCGTTAATTAATATTACTCAGTACTTATACGTATAATTACACTGTAACAAGGATACCTTAAAATAAAGTGCAACCCCTGAATCTTCTGTAAAACACCCTGTAGTGGTTTTAGGTCTATTTTAAGCACTGTACGTGTTTGTCGCTGTAATGGATCATGAGGTTGTTTCATTGGTCAGTGTTTCCCAAACTCCCCATAGCTGTGTTACACTCTTTGATCTTCTTCAACAGCTTTAAAGAAATGCATCCATTTAAACATCCCGTGACCAAGACAGAACTGGCTTTCAATAATTAAAACCAGCAACTGTTTCTAAGCCAGAAACACTCATTGGAAAACGACTGTTTCACGTCAGCAAAAGCGTGTAAAACCTAAATCTCAGAAATTGCATAGAATGCACCAATCCGATAGCAGCTTGAGATTTTGAGAAAGCTCTTGCCATAATTCTGTGTGATATTCATTAGACCAGTGCTTGTCAATTGGTTTTGCTGGACCCTGATTTAACCAGTTTTTATCATACAAATGTAAACTAAATTATGAAACGGATAGATTGAGTCAATAATTAACCAAACGAAACTCACCATGGTCATCCTGGCTAGAAGTGAAGCTGTTTTTAATGTCTGGGTCTTATTCTCTTTTATCTTGTGTAGTTTTGTTGATGTTTTTGCAAATATGTCAAAACATGTCCTTGTTGACATATATCTGATTTAATAAGCCTCTGGAGATGAATTTAAGCCAAAATAATGCCATAGTTTGTTCTTTGAAGTCATCATCAAACAATATGGGAAGTGTTTTCTCTCTTTCAATAATTTCAATGTTGACAGCACTATTGAACCTACAAACATTGGTCTGAGGAGGGACAAACTGGTGAGAGCGTCTAGGGCAGGGCTTTCCAAACCTGTTCCTGGAGGGCCACTGTCTCGCAGAGTTTAGCTCCAACCCTAATTAAACACACCCGAACCAAAGTAATCAAGGTCTTCAGACTCACTGCAAACTTCCAGGCAAGTGTTTTGGAGTTAAACTCTACAGGAGCAGGATTGAACACCCCTGGTGTAGGGCATCCAATGCTCATCAAGGTCTAAGTGGCGACAGTTTTAATGACATGCCTGTGTAGATGCGGACTGGTCAGAGAGCTCGTGATGACCCCTGTCCACAGCCCCTAGAATGGGCACATGAGCAACAGAAGTGGACCTTGGAGCTGCGGAAGAAGGTTGTCCAGTCTGATGAGTCCTGTTTTCTTTTACATCACATTTACTTGGGGATGTAATGGCAGCAATATACACAAGGGCAGGGGTTTCCAATCCTGCTCCTGGAGAGTTTAGTCAAGTCAAGTCACCTTTATTTGCATAGCGCTTTATACAATACTGGATGTGTCAAAGCAGCTTTACAGTGTCAAACAGGGAAATAGTTAGTTAGTAGGCAGTTCTCCTCTGGCCAGACAAACCAGCATGGAGTGGTTTAATTCCAATAAACTTAATCTAAGTTTCATTTAGTGGTTTAATTCCAGGCTGCAACACAGGTCAGATTGTGCAGAGGACTCGTCTGGTTCCCGTGGTCTTGTGTCGATGGCTGTCTAGTTGACGAGGTCTTCACTGGGGATCTGTCTCTAGGGCTCATCTAGTTGACATGGTCTCCGCTGACATTCAGGGCTGTAGAGGTCCTCTCTAGGACCATCTGATCTGGATACAGACTGGATCTGGTGGCTACGGTGACCTCGGAATAAGAGAGAAACAGACTAATATTAGCGTAGATGCCATTCTTCTTACGATGTAGCGAGTACATCGTGTGTTATGGAAAGTGTTCCCGGTTCCGGTTGTCCTAATTAATGCAACCTTACAATCCTTTAACGGATTTGAATATTAGAAATGTGTTAGTGTGTTATGTGTAAGCCAGGTTAAAGAGATGGGTCTTTAATCTAGATTTAAACTGACAGAGTGTGTCTGCCTCCCGAACAATGTTAGGTAGATTGTTCCAGAGTTTGGGAGCTAAATAAGAAAAGGATCTGCCGCCCGCAGTTGATTTTGATATTCTAGGTATTTGAGATCGCAGCGGACTTGAAGGACAAGCTTCAACCTCCAACCCCAATTAAACACACCTTAACCAGCTAATCAAGGTGTTACTAGGCATACTAGAAACTTCCGGGCAGTTGTGTTGAGGCAAGTTGGAGCTAAACTGTGCAGGACAGTGCACACATTGTTCAGGAATGGTTTGAGGAACATAATGAAGAGTTCAAGGTGTTGTCCTGATCTCCAAATGCTCAGATGTTAATCTGATTGACAATCTGTGGGATATGCTGGACCAATCAGTCCATTCCATGGTGGCTCTACCTCGCAATTTAAGGACATGAAGCATCTTCCGCTAATGTGTTGGTGTCAGATATCACTGGACACCTTCAGGAGTTTTGTAGAATCCATGCCTCAGTGGGTCAGTGCTGTTTTGGCAGCACAAGGAGGGCCAACAGCATATTAGACAGGTGATCTAATTTGGAGTAATTTGGTTGTTTTGGCGTAGATTGTATCCTGCATGACAATGATAAAATAAACAGATAAAGCAACAACTAAGTAAGGGATTTTAGCTCACTGTCTCTTTCTGCCCCCTGCAGGACTGAGTTCTACACTGAAGTTTAAGAGTTAGTGCTAGAAGTTTGATCACATCACTAATTAAAACTTGAACCTTTAAGATGATCAGTTGTAAAAAAAAATCTCCCTACACTCTCTACTTGGAAACGATAAGGTGAACATGTTCTGTGATTGATGTTGGGGGGTTTATGAGATACAAAACAAGCTGTTTGTCATAGACGGGTCGAGGCTCCTCTGGACATCAAAGATCAGATTACGTGTTGTTTGTGCTTTTCACACTGTCATGAAAAAATAAATAAATCATCTGAGTCACATAGGAGCTAAAGTCGGATTTGGGCTACGTTTTCCTGCAGTCTGAAAATAGCTAGTTAGAAACTATGGGCCAGATTTACTTAACAGGGCAAATTAGCATGAGGGCGCAATCCCATAAAAGTGGAAAGTTCTGTTGATCTACTCACAATCAGCAAATTAAAGAACACAGACACAAATCATTTCCATAATGACCAGTGCAATCAACCAATAGCAGGCGCAAATTAGCGTCTCACAAAAGCAGAGACAATGATAATCAGTTGCATGTAATTACTAACACAGACACAAACAGACTCTATCCCAAACCCTCTATCGTGACCAACAGCCCAAATGTTCACTCTAGAAGCAAAATTCTCATTGTTTTCTGTTATTTTACGTCCTTTTTGATGGCACCCATTCACTGCAGAGGATCCATCGGTGAGCAAGTATTCAAATGTTACATTTTTCTAAATCTGATGAAGAAAGAAACTCATCTACATCTTGGATGGCCTGAGGGTGAGCACATTTTCATTTTTGGGTGAACTATGGGAACATTTTTCCCTATAATGTAGGGAAAAACTAGACCACACACACACACACACACACACACACACATGTGCCAATCTGCTCTTGATTTAAGGATTATTGGCAGCAGCTGTAGTGAATATTAACTGTAGATGTACTGCTGTCTGTCATATGAAGGTCCAGCGGACGTCGCCTCAAAGTCAAAGGAATGAAGAACTTGGTGCTCTCGAGCCATTGATATTCAGAACACAACTGAAGATGAATATTGTGCGGATCAGAGCGAGTCGTGCAGGTCGATCATGTCGAGTCACGCATTTCATATATTTTAATACAGTCAGACTAGGTGTCGTGTCTTATGAGAATTATTGGCTTATTCTCTCTGTTCTGTGAATCATATTTAACTGTGTAGGAAGAGAAGATAAAAGTCTGTGATAAAAATAAGGAAAGTGTGGGAGCGGCGTCCGCTGGGATTGTGAGCTGGTATTATTCTGGAGCGAGTGAGACACGTGTGTGTGATGTTTGATCAGTTTTATTGGCGTTACACACTCCATCAGTCTGGATTCTGGAAGCATCTTTCCCATTCCTGTTGTCTGTCCAACAAACGTAACGCAACAACAACACTAAATAATTATAGGTTGGGCATAGGATCGGATGCTCAAAGATATTTACATCATAGTGTGATGTAAATAAAATGGTTTTAACTGAAAATCAGACCTCATCATGATGATAAAATTATATTGACGCCAAATGTTTCCCAATGAAATCAATGTGTTTCTGGTCGTGTTGCAGTAAAGACGCTCAAGGCCACTAATGCCATTGGTGACATGCGGCAGTGAGAATGGATACATGACAGTCGTGGTCATTATGAACTATGGAAACGGGCTATAATCCTCTTTTTGTGTCCCATAGAAGTCAGTCATTCAGGTTTGTACTGACATGGTGCCAGAATGATTGTTTTTGGATGAACTTTCCCTTTAAAGGCACTGTGGAGTTTCAGGAGCAGAAAGCCGCTGGAGTCTCAGATCTATTAGCACGTTTAGAGATGATGATGAAAGACTCTGGAAATCAGCCGCGAGGATTGTGTATCCGATTATATCTGCGAGAGATCCGTGATTCTGGCTCACATTGAAACCAAATCCACAATTATTGTGTTTCTCTACTAAAGAGTTATGAAACCGTTGATGGTCATGAGACTTCACAGACTTCGAGTAGCATTTTGTGATGACTTTGTAAACAAAGTGTGACTAGTTTGAGACGCTGGTGTTTTATGGGCAGTTCTATCGGGCATCTGTGCGTAAATCAGAGGTCCAATCATTAAGAGCGTCGAGTGGCATCATGTTAAAATCGAAGGAAAATAAACTACGGCCTGACGGTAATAAAGCATCTATTGGCCTTCACCGAGCGATTCAGTCATTACTCACGCACATAAATAACCACCAGGCCAGTCGCTCGTCTGGTGTCCTCTTAAAGAGCCCGAACACTGAATCTCTCCAGGTGAACTTGCACGTCTGTACATTTAGACTAGTTGCAGTTACCATTAACCACCTAAATAAACTATGTTCTGTAAGGTTTCAGGCCTTTTACGTGTCTGTGACTGTGCCAACACTATTAATCTAATGCATCTTACAGTAAACTACTGTTTGAATGTATGTTAATGTACAGCTCTATAATATTTTTTTGCTCTATAAAATACTAGTTGTTGTTTGATATTGATTTTTCTTTAGCCGATGCCAGTAACTATAAAGTTGTGCATCTATTTGCCATTGGCTGATAAATAAATATGATATACAATTTTATAATAGCAGTTGTGAATTAAAAGCACATTATTTACTCAAAAATCACAGATATGGTTATTGGCTGCCACCAGTAATCTCAAAAAGGTCAAATATTTGCTGATTTGTGTGTTTGTTTAGAGAAAACATACAGCCAAGGTTAACAGTTTGTTTACTGCACTTATGAAGAAACATTAATCATGAATCCTGTCCTATTTGTCAATTCCCAAACAATTCCCATTCCTTTCTCAAACCAGGCTCAGTGGGAAAAGGCGCTGATTGCGACATTTCTGTGAAATACACTGCTTTTTACATGTTTCATGACACTTTCTAAGTGAGATGTCCAGTGGGGGCGCTAAAAGCATGTTTACTTTGATCTGAAATACATGAAAGTGAATGTGGCAACATTTTTTTTTTTTTTTTTTA